TCCTCACAGTAAGAGGCCACACAGACCAAACAGGACTTGATGGCTCTCAGTTTTCTCCCAGAGCAGAAATCACAGGCCACATCTTCAAGTCCAGCATAGCAGTGATCAGCAGGAGCATCTTTGAGTCCAGTCTTCTTCAGGTCTTCTGATAATTCTGCTAACATGGTGTTTCTTACCAGGACAGGCCTCGGTATGAAGCTTTTCCTGCATTGAGGGCAGCTGTGAACTCCCTTCTGATCCTCCACATCAAAGTGGCCTTTAATACAGTTCATGCAGTAGCTGTGTCCACAGGGAATAGTCACCGGATCCTTCAGGAGATCCAAACAGATCGAACAGCAGAATTTCTGTCGGTCCAGCTGATTTCCCTGCTGCGCCATTTCTCCTCTTCACAGTAACGTCTGAATATTTCCTGTTTCTCTGAGCAGAAACAATCTCACCTGAACCAGGAAACAAGGGCTGTCAGCAGCGTCATGTTACAGCTTGCTGCTCACGCCCATCTGAAACATGTGACCGGAGTCCAAACAAGCAGGGTGTGTTCTGCAGAGAAAGACACGTCATCTTACTGCTATAAAGAAAAAACCTGTTCCGTCTCAGCTGTGTTATCATTGCAGGGTTACAACAGACAGACTTCAGCTTTTCTTTACGGCCTCCATGTCCTTTTGCTTCTGTCTCTCTTACTTTTCCACATAATAATGTCTCCAACTTGAGATGTTCACCCAGATATTATTGTCAGAATGACTGAGAGCTCTAATAATCATTGATACATGAAACTTAGGAAACATAAACCCAAAAAGTGTTTGCATGGAGTTGCATTATGTTTTTTTCAGATTTTCCATAAACTGTTTGGAGTCTTTCAGGAGCTGCTTTCAGTATGTAAAGCTAAAGCTAATTAAAAATAAGGATAAATCCTTACTCATCAGCTTTACCAGTTTTGAAGAGTGGTGTTTAAAGGTAATGGAGGAAAAAAACTTTTTGTTTTGGGATTCAAACTGGAGTTTGAAGGAATATATGAGATGTGCTTTGATGCCATCCGGGCTTTACTGACACTATGGAAGGGCTCGTTTGCTGCTGAATAATCCTGATATACACTTATGGCTGCAGTGAGGTTCATACATGTGTCTAAAATAATTAAATATGTTTAAGAAAATGTTGGAATAGGTACCTATGAAATCTAATAAAGATAATAAATTTTGTTTGTATAGCACACTTTCAAATCTTGCTACATCTCAAGGTTCTTCACAGTTCTGCAAAAAACTAGGCTTAAAACAATCAATCAAAACTACAATTCTTGACATAATAAAGATTAAACCTAAAGGATTTGAAAAACCATGACTTATTAGAAAGATGAATACAAGCCTTCAGCCCACTGTTGTTCTGCACCTACGTTTCTGATTTAGAAGCGTTCTGATGAACCGTGTGGGAGTAGTTAGCGGCCAATTATGCTGAAGAATAAGTTGCAGAATAAGTAATTGCAATAGCAGTAAGAGTGGCCTGCGTATGGAACACCTCCTTAAAAAATAGTTTAATCACCATTTAAATATGCCTTAGAGTAAAACCTGTGGACAAACTGAGTGCATGAGTTTTAAGCCCCTGTTAGTAGGATAAGGGCGCCCTCTTGTGTTGTGCACCAGTTTCAAATTGAAGCTTTGAACCCGCAGGGAGACGTGAAAACATTTTATCAAGACTTTGGCAGCTTCAGCATCAGGAAAGAGAGATTTAAGCTTCTGTAATATCA